GTGTGTGTTTAACTTGAATCAGTGTATTTAACTCAAATTTTGCTACAATAGGCTCCATTCTTAACTATGGGTCATCTGTAAACAAGGCATTCTTAATCTGGGGACTACTTGTATAAGACAATTATCCCACTTTTGGAAGCTGACAAAGAGAGAACTATTGCAGGTCTATGTCAGCAGCCACAGCTTCTCTGCAACAGTGTCTCCTAACATGGAATATGTGCAATTCCCAGAAAACCTGTTCCATGCTGACTAGGAATTCTGGAAATTGAAGTCCAAACATATCTGGAGGGTACGACATTAAGGACAGGTGTTCTCCTGAGCCATACTTCAGATTGCCAAGCCTTTAAAATCTCTGGGCAATTGAATTTGGGAGTCGAGTAGGAAGCGTCACTGGCTAATAAGGTGGCCTGGTGATAAGTAGCAGAAGCTCCCACAGGGTGGAAACCAGAGGGGACCTCTTGCAAGTTGAGAAGGTGAAGATAGTAGCTTAGGTATGGAGCTTATTGGGCCAAGGATCAATATAGTGCTAACAGTTAAAGTGTTCATCTCACCAAGCAGGAAGTAGCACCCGCCATTTCTTAATTTTGTTCCTTTAGTCTGATTTGTTATTTTCATCTTCTACCTCTAATGATACAATCCTGGCAGTCCTCTGCCTCTTGAAGTCTTTGCTTGTTTATAGTTTGGGCCATGGCAAACCATGGATTCTCTTTACTACCAATGGATGAGTTAACCTAGCAATTTAGGGCACAGTAGGAAAGATGGGTCTCTGATTGCTTTATTGAGTTTCATGGCCAGGACTTTTGGGGAAGGTGAGCCTGCGAATTGTGCCAAGTTAAAACTATATGTTTGTAGAAATGGTCTAGAAAGGTTCAGCTTTATTGATTATATGCTGAGAGAACTAGAGTGAAAGTGAGCAACCTGGAGGCCCCTAAGGATATTTCTGCATGGCAATGGCTCCATCCAGAGCCATCCTGTCTGAAAGCTCCTAGCTAAGTAGGGATGGTTGGCTTGATGGAGTGGTCCCTACCTATGGTCCTCAGGAATATGGTTGGTTCCTGACCATTCTGAATGGGAGAAGGGCAAAGTTGTCAATGTGTCTCAGATTCAGTATGATCCATTGATTTCTTTTAAAATGCTGAGTTTCCATTTGATTCCTGTGGTTCATCAACAGTCTGGCAGTGGGTGTACTGATAGGCAAAGAATCACTGTCCTCTGTCTAGTTGGTCAGTCTATAGTGTCCTTCCTGAACACACATTGCCTTGCCCCAACCTCTGGTGGAGGCATGGCATTGGATGAGCGGTCATGCGTGTTTTCTACACTATAATGGGGTGACATTCTTTTTCAGAATTTAAAATTGGAGGTACACTTTGCCTTATGCCCCCAAATATTCATTTCGTGGAATATGATGGCAGTGGGTAACAAAGATATATCCCAAACAATGTGACTGAGCCACTCACAGTATGTGAAATAATATAACTGAAATAATTGCCACTAATTGGGTGGGTTAATCTCAGGTATGGGTTTTTGGTTCTCACCATAGTACAAATGCTACAAGGCTGGGCTTGGAGAGGGCAGCAACAGACCCTTCATAGAACATTACTGATCCTGAACTTGTTGCAACATGAGAAAAGGGGGCAGTACATACAGGTCTAACTATATGTAGAGCTTTAGGACTAAATAATGTGACAATAATATTTATATTTTTGTAGGGAATATTTGTAGGTAAAGTTATAAAAACATATATGCATACTTTGAGATGGGATCCTGATCACTGTTCTTATCTCTCTCTAGCATCTACCTAGGCAACTCTGGGACTTTTGGCCTCTTCCCCAACAACCGCCTCAAGCGGAGACCAAGCCATTATGAGCAAGACATTACTGAAGGTGAGTGGCCATGGGGAAAAATTGTCCATGTTGGGACAGAGCAGAGAGCACAAGCAGAATGGCACATGTGACAGATATGGAAACAGTCTGTATAAAGTGGCTGCTGATATGGTGGAAGGGGTTCCCAATTCATGTTCAGCATGACCCCTTGTGCAAAGAAATTTTACTCTTTCAGACTTCTCCATGTATCTATCTAGGTCTTCAACCCCAGAAAGTGGCACGCCGGGTCTTCACCAATAGCCGGGAACGGTGGCGTCAACAGAATGTGAATGGTGCCTTTGCTGAGCTTCGGAAACTCATTCCCACCCACCCACCTGACAAGAAGTTGAGTAAGAATGAGATTCTTCGCTTGGCTATGAAATATATCAATTTCCTGGTCAAGCTACTGAGTGACCAGGCCAGGCTGGCTGGAGGGGAGACTGCTGAGACAGACAGCCCCTGCAATGGCACCCCCAGGACTCCATCACCATCAGCACCCATAAAATTGGAACAGTTGACCGTCGAGTCAATGACTGTGTTGGAGGCAGGAGAACCACGGTGATGTCTAGCAGTAACAGACCACCATCACCACCCCATCCTGTGCATCTGCAGTGCTGCACATGTGGATCAAGCTAGCATCAATGAAAACTCCTTGGCCTGCATATCTGTTCTGAGAAGACACCCCCCCCTTGGGTCCATCACCCATGGAATGGGCTGCCATAGTAGGGTTATACTGACTTTATACTTAAGACTTAATTTGAACCCAGGAGTCCAAAAAGAGAGGGAGAGGGTGCCGGAGTCCCTTTGATTGAGACATCCATTCATGCCCAATGGAAGCCTCAAAAAGTGGGGACTCTGGGGAGAGATGAGGAATGAAGTTTTATGTACAATTCCCCGGTTCGGTTTGTTTCAGGGCAGCAGGGAACTGCTTGAGCAAGTAGCTCTATATGGTGTCTGGTTTACATAAGACACCCTCTTGCTCTTGTTGGCTGTGAGAGGAAGACCTTGACGTCGGGCAACACCTTGGCTGGGAAGGGGTGCTCTGGAGTTTCATTTTTACTGTTTGCTGATCAATGCTTCTGATTTTTAGCCTTAACACTGCTCCCGCCCACAAATCTAAACCTCATTTTTGTTGGGCCCCACATAAAATATTTGAGCCTGTATAAAAGAGCAAAAGGATGTAAAGAAAGGTGGCAAGGTTTAGAGGTTGAGCTTCTAGGCCCAGCCTACTTTCCACCTTCTTGTCAGAAAGGGGCTCTGGCTAGGCTATCTTGGTAACACCTTTCTGGATGGGAAAAGAGCTGCTGAAGGATTTCGAGCACTGGCTCAATGACTTGGAAGGCAAGGGCCACACAACTGTACAGACTGTTCCGTGCATCTGCCGTGCTTTGCCTCTTTGGGGGTTCAGTAGCTCATTTAGGGCTACAGGCAGTGGCTTGTGTGAGGAAAGGGGGGCACCCAATCTCATTCAAGGGGAGGGGGCAAGGCTAGAGCTCTTCTTTTTGACAGGCTGATTTTCCTGCATGCCACAACATTTTCCTTAACAGTTCTCTTACATAAGCCCCCACCATCAGTCCCAAATGGTATCATTCATACCAGAAGCATCACCTCTGGGGAGAACTGGGCCTTAGTTATGCTCTTCGTGGTCCAGGTGTGCTGTTGAGGAGTTACTCCAGGTGCAGGCAGTTAGGAGGGAGTGGATGGTGGTGCTGCAGCAGCTGCTGTGTCACTCCCAAGGGGCCAGTTGCAGGGGGGGAGGGGGGCTGGGTTGTCGCTGGGAACCCACAGTCTCAGAAACCCGCTCCCTTCCTGGAAAGAGAAGGGCGGTTTGTGCTGAGTCAGTGTCCCGGCCTTCTCCACACACCCTGGGCCCCCTGCCAAAACCAAATGTGACAGCAGCGAATCTGGAGGGAGGCAGGCCTGGGCTGCCCGTTATCGGGTGAAGACGTTTGCTGAAGGGCCTTAGAGGTGGAAGGAAGAAGAAAGATGACCATATCTATCCACACACACACACACACACACAGAGGCACCAGCACCCGTTCAATTTCCAAATGTGTGTGCAAAGGGTATTGTTCTCTGCTAGTATTTGCTTTTGTTGGGAGGAGGGTCTGTAAGATGGGAATCTTATACTCATCAGTGTTGTCCAGACCAGGAGCTCTTTGGAACCAAAATCTTCCAAGTTTTGTGATGTTTTAAAACTGAAGTCAATGCCATAAACAAAAAGCAAAGCGATCTGTTCAGTGATGATTGTTGATACTGCAAAAGATTATGCGGGTTGAATGCTATGTTCTGAACTCAAATTTTTCACTGCAAGGAAATGATGAGAGGGGGAAATACACAGGTAAGTAAAGGGCAGGAAGAATAATGACGTGCTTGGCATCCATGAGAGCTATCTCTGTATATGTAGCGTGTGTGTGTGTGTGTGTGTGAAGGATGGGATAGAAAGGAAAGTGAAAGGCAATTGAAGATACGGAAGTACGGCATCCTGAGGTCCTTCCTCCCAGATCTAGACCATCTTCTTGTGTTCTCCAGACATCACTGAAGTGCTATAAGGTACAACAGCAGCACAGCCATGGTTCCATGAAGCCAGAGTAAGTCACTAGTGGGGAAATGACCATCAGAGCTGGTGTGTTATTCTGCAGCAGTAAGAACCCAGCAACTTACATGACCTCATACACGTTCCTTGAGCCTGTTCCTGAGTAACCTTTCCTTGGCTACAGCCTAGTTACGTGCTAGAAATTACTCCAAATACACAGAGCTGAATGGCAACTTGTGACGTATTCCTGTTTCCTCTTGCCGGTTTTGGTCTCATTCACTTTGCTCTGGTTAAGGAGGCTTTCCTTTTGATTCCACCTCCTGGGTTGGTAGTCTAAGCAATCACTATGCCTTTCCTCCTCTTGTCCACTTGTCTCAGCGGTTCTTCAGTCATGTGATGTTGATTTTATTTTATTTCATTTTATTTTTCACATCCACTTATCATGGTTCTTGTTCTACGCAGCTCAGTGAAAGGATCCAGGGTATCTCTCTGGGTTTGCATGACACACTGAATCACAACCAAGCCATAGCCAATTACATTTTAGCCAAGGACGTTGTGAGAATCCAGCCAGTGTGGGAAATCTGTGGCCACTGTGATATGTGAACCCAGAGCAGGATAGTAGAGAAAATCATCCCACTGAGTTAATCATGGCTATGTAAATCAGTTGAATGCAGTCTAAGACTGTGGTCACCCATTAATTCTTATTATCAGATCATTCTTTAAGTTAGTGATGTAAAAAGTTTTGTTTTGTTGGGGTTTAGATGGAATCTTTGAATGCCATCACTAACTTGCATGCCAAAATCAAATTAAATGTTTATTTTGCTTAGAATTCAGTGAAAAGGACATAGTTCCAAGGAAAATGATTAATCAAAACATAGCGGGCCTGGTCAGTGAACTATTCTGCTCAGGCCCCACTGAAATTAACAGGATGGCTTATGGAAAGATTCCAGTTCAGCCACACAAGAGCAGCTCCTACTAGACTGTTAGAATTGATAGGTGTAAAGTGGATGTGGTATGTTTGTATGTATTGCAGAAGGCTCCTATAATCAAGAGTAGGGTAGCCATATTTAAAAAAGCAATGGGTGCCATTATAGTTGCCATTACAGAGCACTCAATGAAAAATGGATACATTTTCCCACTATGTTGGCACATGGGAGGTGCTGGTTTTAAATTCCACCACACAGAGACAACTGGGGTCATCCATTTTAAACAGCTGAAGTCAAGTTAAATCTCTTTATTTCGGTCAGTGATCAGCAACAGCTAAACATTTCTCCTTTGTGGCTTCTAGAAGTCTTGGGACCAAGGTGGCAAGCAAAGAAAGACCCGCCTTTCAGACCCTTGCATTCACCTGAGTGCCTATTCTGCCATGGTTTCATACAGCTGAGTGGTGCAAGGATCACTGCATCTCTTGATTTACTCAGACAAAGCACTTATCAATTCCATGTTCCCTAAAGGGTATCGGTAGAAGTGGTACACATGCCTCCCCATGCTGAGCATTTCAATTGCTTCCTGTGAGGGTCAAGATAATAGGAGGATCTTAAAGGGTGTCTGTAATATTACCTTGTGACAGGGGAGTCCACAGGGGATGGTTAAAAAAAGTTAAGATGACCACTACGATGGTGCAGTTGAAGCTCAAGTGCATTGCAGACAGAGCTTATGTGGATACTTCTGCCCTGACACTTCGTTTAAAAATCCAAAGCAGCAGGAGAGGGAGAAAGAGGAAGTGCTGGAGGAGCAGATGTTTTTCCTGCCTGACATTTCCCTGCTCCAAATCACCCTTTCCTTGAAGGCCAAACACAAGCAAAGCTCAAGAATTCTCTGAGGGAAAGTGGGGTGGGGGAATTTGGCTTGAGGAAATGGGGGATATTTGGAGATTGAACCTCACTTCCTCTTTTGCTTGCTTTGATCCCACTGCCCTTCAGAAGCTATACTCCCTCTTTAAAGAAGATGAAAGGTGTAATGTTATCTCATGCAGTGGAGGACCACCACATTGAGTTCCAGGCAAAGGGCACTCAGAAAGAACCAAAAACCTTGCTAAGAAGATATATCTTGGAATTGGGGCTATGCCGAGAGGCACATAAGAAGATCCCAGGATAGGATTGAGTCTCCCCTCCCACCCCAATTGCTAGTTGCCAAAAACTGGCACTCAGGCAGCCGTTCTTTCCTAAGATCTCCACTCAAGCACCGAGCCTCCAATCCTAGGGCATCTGGTCCCTTTGCTACTTGAACTATACACACAAACCACAGGGACTGACCTTGGACCATCTACCCCCATGTGCTGTTTATAAGCCATAGGGCACTTCCACATGGCTGCCCAGACAGTTTCCCAATGATCACAATCATTTTCACTGCCACTGATCTTGTAGTGCTGAGAACCCAACCAAAAATCACTGTCATGCTCCAAGCTGCTATAGGTCCTGTAGCAGATAAATAGTCTCACCTTTTATGCACAATGTACACACACACACGAGAGAGGAAAGAAAGAATAGAAAGAACAGAAAAGGCCCAGACAGCCTGATGCTTTGTAGAAACTCATCTCCTGCTGAAAATAATGAGAAGAGAATCTTGTCATTTTCATCTGTGTTTGTTTGGCCTGGCCAATTGGGGTGGGGTGGGGGGATGCCAAGTTAGCATTCCCTTGTAGCCTCTGAAGCTCATGAAAGAAAAGGGGGTAGCAATGCAAGAATTCCCTCCAGTGTGGAAGAGCTGAACTCCATGCATCACAGAACTTGTTTCCAGCTGAAAAGCACATTCAGAGTGGTTCTTCTTGCACCAAAGAGTTGCTGGTAGAGGACTGTTGATCTGATCCAAGAGGCATGCAAACATATGGAAATGCCCACAGTCTTTAGTGATCCACCAAGCCATTGGCCAAAGCAATAAAGGAAGGAATATACTGTCTGACTCTTTTTTGGGTATCCAAATCTACATGACTATTCTTCATCTAGTTAATTAATCCAGTTAGAGGTGTATAAGAGGTGTATTTAATACATCTATAGCCTCCTCCTCCATGTGTCTCCCAGGCAGATGTATTGTCGTGTATGTCCATTCTCCCGCAATTCAATTTTGCAAGCACCTTGCATCAGCTCTGTGGCTTCTTCTGTTACCATCAGTCTGGAATACTTGCTCCTTATCAGGTATGTAAAGCTTTTCATTTATGAGAAAATTACTTAGGTATGAATAGTGCTATAACCTTTCACTTAATAGCTTCTCTCATTTTTGAGTGAAATGGGGACATCCTTATCACTCTATGATGCTGCCATATGTGAAATCAGACCATTGGCTCTTCTCATTCAGTATTGTCTATGCTGATTGCTAGCTGCTTAGCAAGATCTGAAGCTACCTAGCTTCTTTTAATAAGGGACCCCAGTGATAAAAGCAGGTGGCCCACCATTCACCTACGCTATGCATCTTTCCTCTTTAAAAAAGGAATGCGCTAAGCTTCCTGGATTCCAGAACTGGTACCCCAATAATTCATCTCATCCAGCATTCCAAATCCTGGTTCCCTGGTGGTTTTGAAGAACCTGAGATCTATTAAAAGGAGGCTAAACACCACCCATATCACTGACTTACTGTGAAGGGAGTGCAGAGCAAAGTAAACCAGGGATGAGAGTGATATTTGTGTGGCAGGAGCAATCCTTTTCACTATAAACATTATCATTCTGTGGTAGCTAAGAAGTGTCACTGACTGAGTTGACATGATGCACTAAGGTCCACTTTGTTTTAACTATGGATTATTAAACAAATCATTGGAACCAATGGTAAATATGTCACTATTTATTAGATTTATATCCTGCCTTCTGGAGCCACATGTAATGCATGATTGGATCTGCATGTTAAGTGCCTACAGTCATTTGCTTATTTTTACACTTTTAGGGATAGGGAGAACAAGACTGTGGCCTGGAAGGAAGGATGGTGTTTCCCATTTTCCAGGTGACCCAATGTGATTGCCATGGAGGGAAAGCTATTTATGCCCACAGCCTCCTCTCTCCTGAGGCA